TCTCTGTCTATATTTTACTCATATATATATATATATATATGGGGGGTGGGGGTGGGGGTGCTGGTATTCAATATATACATTTTCAATAAAATATGTACTATCTATATGTGTATTATAGTTTTCCCTCCCTCCACTACTCCCATCCTCTCAGCTCCCCTCTACTTTTCTTCTTCCCCAGGTCCACTCCCCCTTTGTCTCCCATCAGAAAAGAACAAGACTCCAAGACACAACTACCAAACACAACAACAACAACAACAAGTACAATAAGACAAGAACTCTCACACTGAAGCTATGCAAGGGAATCTAACAGGAGGAAAAGAGTCCCAAGAGCAGGCAAAAGAGTCAGAGACACATCTGCTCCCACAGTTAGGAGATGCACAAAACCACAAAGCTAAGAGACACAACAGACATGCAGAGGACCTGGTGCAGACTCCTACAGGACCTGGGCATGCTGCCTCAGTCTCGATGAGCCCATATGTGCCTTACTTAGTTTATTCAGTGGGCCGTATTCTCCTGGGGTCCTCCATTCCCAGTTCCCCATCCCTCCTCTCCTCCAGCTCCCCACTCCCATCTGGTGGTGGTGGTGGTGGTAGTGGTGTGTGTGTGTGCGCGCGCGCGCGCGTGTGTGCGTGTGTGCGTGTGTGTACATACACATGAGACTCCCTTCTTTTGGTTTAGGTGGTGTGAGATTATTTCCTGTCATTTCATGGATTTCATTTCATGTCATTTCATAGGAAGGTAGAGTTAACCTTCCTAGGTTGGAATTTTTCTTCTAGCAACTCCTTTAGGGTTGGATTTGTAGATAAATATTGTTTAAATTTAACTTTTCATAGAGCATCTTATTTTTTCCATCTATGGTGATTGACAGTTTTCCTGTTTATAATAGTCTGGGCTGACATCTGTGTTCTCTTAGAGTCTGCAGTACATCTGTCCAGGCCCTCCTGGCCTCTAGAGTTTTCATTGAGAAGTCAGGTTTAATTCTCATAGGCCTGTCTTTATATTTTACTTAGCTTTTTTCCCTTGTAGCTTTTAATATTCTTTTTTGGTTCTATATCTTTAGATTTTGATTATTATGTGGTGAATGGACTTTCTTTTCTGGTCTAATCTGTTTGATGTTCTATAAACTTCTTGTACCTTTATAGGCCTCTCCATCTTTAGATTAGGAAAATTTTCTTCTATGGTTTTGTTGAGAATATTTACTGGCCATTTGAGCTGGGATTCTTCTCCTTCCTCTATTCCTATTATTCTTAGATTTGGTCTTTTCACAATGTCCCAGATTTCCTGAATGTTTTGTGACAGGAATTTTTTTAGATATTACATTTTCTTTGACTGATGTGTTCATTTCTTCTATTGTATCTTCAATGCCTGAAATTCTCTCTTTCATCTCTTGTATTCTGTTGGTAAAGCTTGCCTCTGTAGTTCCTGTTTGCATTCTTACATTTTTCATTTCCAGATTTCCCTCAGTTTTTGTTTTTCTTTATTGCTTCTACTTTCATTTTCCTGTCTTGAAGAGTTTTATCTGTTTCCTTTAACTGTTTGTATTTTCTTGGCATTGTTTAGGGGATTTTTTTCATTTCCTTCAATTGTTTGTTTGCATTTTCCAGGATTTCTTAAAGGGACTTACTCATTTTCTCTTCAAGGATTTCCATCATGTTCATTTAGTTGGTTTTAAGGTCTCTTTCCTGTGCTCCAGCTGTGTTGGAAGATCCCAGGTCTGCTTCAGTAGCTGGGCTCTTACAGTGACCTCTAGACATCTCAGTTTGAGGTGATTGCTGATTTCTGGGTTTGTCTTTGTTGGGTTGGTGTTTTGTTTTGCTCCTTGGTTTCTTGTTCCTCCTTTGATTTTCAGGGAGTGTTTTTTCTATTTTACTGACCTACCGGGCTGGTGTGTTCACAGGGAATGCCTTCTGGTGGAGAGCCTGGGATGCAGTGGAAAGTAGTGAAAGGAGGTAAGGAAGGGATGGTCAATTGGGTCTACAGGAGATGTGGGCAGAGGGAAGGGGACTGCAGTTGATCAATGCAGTGCTAGGGAGGAGACTGAGGGCTTGGGTCTACAGGGACAGAATCAGTACAGAAAGCCCCTACCTGGTTTTCTGAAAGTCATGACCAGCAGTTGAGAGGGAGGCACATGCCTGAGTTGGGACTTAAGATATAGCAAAGAGAAGAGGAAGGAAGGTAAGGAGGGTATCCACAGGAGATGTGGGCTGGGGTTAAAGAGGCTGCAGCTGGTGTTCTGTTGCAGCACTAGGGACACGCCTGAGGGATTGGGTCTTGGGGAATGGAGAAAGCAGAGGAAGTCTGTGGGCAGCCTACCTGGTCTTCTGCATAAGAATTCTTTAGAAATCATAACAAGTAAATTGCTTTAGCATGCATTCCAGCAAAATGAAACGAGTATCCTTAAAAGTATAAGAGAATCTAAATACAGTGTAGTAAGGATAGGGCAGTGCAAAAAGAATGTAACTGTGTGGTGGGCTTAATAAAGAGTAGTTCAGATTAATGAGTGCAATGTAAAGAATTTCTTTAATAGGCAAGTCAATTCTATTGTAAATTGCATAATTGTGTCATTAAAAGTTTTATGTGGTAAGGTAGAGTCATCTGCCCTAGTAAGAAAATACAGGTATTTAGCTGAAACACACACAGTGAAAGCTGCAAATAAACATACTGTGAAGAGAACAAAACAGAACTTAGTACAGAGGTCCTTTTGGCTATCAGGGTGAGTCTGACCTACAGCCTGAGGGCAATGTACAACTGTGTAAACATGTGAATGCAGCCCTACAGTAAACTTACTTCAATATGATATTTTTCATGAGATTTTTGTAACTCTGTTATATAATTCTTGAGTGATAATTTTGTAGGTGACAGTATTATGCTGCTATGCCAGAAGGTTGCATTCACCAGCAAAATGCTTGGACTTGTCATCTCCCTCCAAAAAGGCGCAGTTCAATGATGTAGATTAATACCCATGTCTTTGGGTATCCAATCACTTTATTCTGCTAGAAATAATATTTAGTACAATTATATACATGAGTTTATTTATATTCAATTTATAACAACTTATAGACAAAACAGAGAAGACAATTATAATCACAGAGCATAAAAAAGCTTAACAATAGAGTTAATAGCATTTGGAATCTTGCAAAAGGTATAGAAAAGTAGAAAAAAGTATGTTTGTTAATTTTCTCACTTATCTCCTTAGGCCTCAATAAAATTCATGAGTAATTTATTAAATATCTAATGACAACACACCACTGATAAGACAAAGGGCCACAGAAACAAGACAATCAAAAATCTATTAAAATATTCTATACAATGGACAAAGAATAAGTAGAAAACAGATGCATTGTGTAGTTATTAATGGGACTGCTAGAAATATTTATGACATAACTAATGAAACTGAGAAATAATCTGCTGTTAAAATACTAATATTTTTATTGTTTGGCATAACTAGATACAATCTAGTCAATTAATTGACAAATAGACACATGAATATATTACTTAGGATTTATGTAACAGGATGTGGTGTTGAACCTCATTACAAGTCTTTCATCAGATACTCAAGAAAATAGCTCTCAGTGATAAGAAAGGGCTCAACTGTCATTCAAGTTGGAGTCTAATTTCTCTACAAGGAGAGTATGCCCATGTTTCTATGTGAATAGTAAACTCGCTTTAACTCCCTGGAGAATAAAAACCTGGCAGAATATCTAGTTCTTAGGAAATGAGAACTAACACATAATTAATTAATTAACTATGGTGACTGCAGGAGTTCTGTAATAAAAGTTCTCTAAAGAAAGGGCACCCTCAAAGCTGTGAAGATAATGTATTTAATCTTTTGTGTTTTAGAAGAATGTGTGGTGAGCAGGCACACAGGGAATGCTGATGCACGTGTGTGTGTGTAGGTCAGAGGACTACTTTGGGTGTGATTATTAAGTAGCCATTTTCTTTTAGAAAATGTGTATTTCTATTTTCTATGTACAAATATTTTGCCCCTCTGTATGCATGTGTACTATTCCCATGGCCGTTAGAGGTCAGAAAGCAGCACTGGCTCTCCTGGAACCAGAAGTACAGATAATTGTGATATGCTACATGGCCACTGGGAATGAAACCTGGGTTCTCCCACAAGAGCAGCAAGGGCTCTTACTTTTTGAGCAGCTTCTGAGCCTCATTGACCTTACTTTTTGATACTGATACCCAGGACTCTCAAATTAGGCTGAGCTGGTTATCCAGTGAGCCCCAGTGAGCCTGTCTTCACCTCTCTGGTTCTCAGATGACAAGCAAGTGTCATCAGGCCTGGCTTTGTATGTGAGTGCTAAGGACCAAATTTGGGGCCTCATGCTTGATTTTCGTATAGCTTCAGGGCATGTCAAAATTTCTTGCCCTTTCCACATCTTAATATCCTTTTGGAAATATTGACGATCATTGTACATAGCCCATCTACCTCATGAATGTCCTAGGGTAACTAATTACTACTGTTAAAAGTACTTTATGACTATTATTCTATTACAGGACCGATGCTCATCTCAGCCATTAGCCTTGTCCTCTCTTTGCCTCTACCTGGTACTGACTATAGTGTAAAAGGGATGCCAGAAAGTTGTTCTCCCTCACTGGTTTTTCAGCTCCCATATGGAAGATGCTCTTGAGGTCCAAATCAGTGAGATGGAATTTGGAATCATTGATGTGGGCTACTTCTACTATTAGACTCACTGAGTGGTTCCTTCCTCAATACTTCTTTACCAGGTCCTTCGTCTCCAGTCCTGCACATCAGTTTCTACAATCAGTGGCTTCAACTTTTTTCTATCTTCTGTTTGCTTGAGACCCCATCCCTTTGTCTCACAGCTGTCCTCATGCAACAACAGTACATCAGCACAAGGTGTTCCTAAATTGCCGGGGTCTTCCTTGTATGATGCACTGGAGGTGTCAACGGTTGGTGCGTTTGAGGAACACCACTCTTTAAAGCCTATGAAAAGGAAGAGGAAACGTTGCTTTTGTTATTGGGAAACCTCCAATAAAATTAAAAATGCTTCTATAGACACCTATTTCTTCTCATTATACATTTGAGATCATGAATTCCATAACATTTAACTTTCTGTGTCTTTTCTAGTATATAAGTGAATTAGAAATGAAAATAGGAAAACAAGTTAGTGACCGATTATTTTTATAATAGTCTAGAAGACTAATTGAAAAGCAATCCATATCCCTAACCCTTCCTTGAACAGGTTCTTTTTATATGGATTTAATTTTTAAAAAATAGTCTATAGAGAATAAAGGGTGGTTTCTTTTTTTTCTAAGTATCATGTCATAATTTCAACCTATTACAATAAATTTGTCATGTAAAGTTATTTTCAGGGGCTTCGGGATATTCAGTGGGTAAGAGTACTTGCTCTGCAAGCATGAGAGTCTGAGTTCAAATCCACTGCATCCACTTTAAAAAGTAGGAATGGCTGTGCATGCTTTGTAATCCCAGAATTGCAAGACAGAGAGGAAGATCCCAAGACATCACTGGTCAATCCGTGTACACAAAAGACCAGCATCCAGATCAGTGAAAGACCTGATTTTAAATGAATAGGAAATTGTGATGCAGGTAGATACTGGATGTCTTTTGCTGGCCTCCAAATGCATCTGCACAGGGAAATTCACATGCATGCATCACACACACACACACACACACACACACACACACACATCCACGTGTATTAGATGTTATATATCCACAGAACACAACTGCAGGAGGGATCTGGGACTTAGTCTGCAGCTGTGTTCTCTACCTATATTAACATCTCAGTGATCCCATTCATTCCCGAGGCTATAAACACTTTCCCCACACTCTGGATCTCCTACTTTTATTGCTTCTCCACCCAGTTCACAATCCTTATGTTCACAAAACCTACTAAGTTTTATACATGATGCTTAAGCCAAACTTAACCTTTCAAAATAAACTAAACTCTGCCAACTACTCCTCTTGCAGTACTTCTCTTATCTGTACATCATTTGTCTAATTCTCTGCTGAGGGTCATATTTCCAACACTTATTCCTGTGCTGCAGGTTGTGGGCCACCCACCATCAGAAGCTAATCAGCAAAAGGGTGGAGGCCATGAGGGCTATTTAACAAGACTGAGCAAGCCACTGCCTGTGCTGCAATGCTTGGCTGCCACAAATAAAAGTAAAGCAGACCAGTGCATTTTCTGAACACAATTAGAAGTGGCAAGTGAAAATATCAGCAATACGTGGAGCCTTGAAAGCTATAAAGAGAAAGACAGAGAGGGATGAATGAGAAGGGGGGATAGAGGGAGGGAGGGAGGGAGGGAGAGAGAGTGGGATAGAGAGAGAGAGACAGAGAGAGGCAGAGACAGAGGCAGAGACAGAGACAGACAGACTGGAATAAAGAAACAATGAAAGACAGAACAAGAGGAGAAAAGAAAGCAGGGAAATTATGCCTAGTACTGGAAACCTAGCCAAATACCAAGGCTACTGGGCTAGTAAAGTCATAGTTCTTAGGGAAGAATTTCTACAAAGTTGCTTTTTTTCTCTTGAATCATCTTCCTAATTGCATAGGGATATGGGTAGCCAAGCTTGGAACTCTTTAACAATTCTCCAACATGATCAAAATTATCTAACTGAGTTAGTATGTATAAAGCACAATCTAGGAAAGTATCAGCATTTTATGTTTTAAAGTAATAGTTGGTTAGAAAACAAAAATATGCACCTCAAATAAACTAATAAAATAATATTCAAAAACAGCCCCAGATAATGCCTATATTTCTCTGTATTAGAAAATTCTTTT